TGTTTAGTAGAATTCTGTCATGAAGTCATCTGGTGCTAGAATTTCTTTGTTGGAAAGTTTTTAATTACTACTACAATCTTGTTATTTTTAATTGCCACCTTCAAGTATTTTATTTCTTCTTGATTCAATCTTGATAAGTTTTACATTACTAGAAATATATGCATTTCCTTCTCAGCTTTCTAATTTGTTTCCATATAATTGTTCACAATGGTCCTTATGTTCCTTTTAATTTTTGAGACATTCGTTGTAATGTCTTCACTTTTATTTGTGAATTTATTTTAGTCCTCTTTCTTTTTTCTTAGTCTCACTAATGGTTGTCAATTTTGTTTATTTTTCTGAATATAACTCTTAGTTTAGTAAACTTTTTCCTATGGCTTTACTGTTCTCTATTTGACTTATTTTGTTCTAATTTTAATATATCTTCCTTCTGTTCTTTTTACATTTATTTCATCCTTCTTTTTCTTGTTCAAGAAGGTATAATGTTAGGTAGGTTATTTGAGATCTTTTTTAATGTAGGTGTCTATCACTATAAACTTACTTCTTAATATTTATTTTGCTGCATCCAGCAAGTTTTGGTATATTTTCATTTTTATTTGTCTAAAGATATAATTTCCTTTTTATTTATTTTTTGACCCATTGGCTGTTCAAGGATGTGCTGTTAAATTTCTACATATTTGTGGGTTTTTTTCTAAATTCTTCCTGTTATTGATTTTTTTGTTTCATACAATAGTAAATAACAGATATTTGTTATAATTTCAATGTTCTAAAATGTGTTGACATGTTTTGTAGCCTAACATATGATCTATCCTGGAGAATATTCCAGGTTCCCTGAGAAGTATGTATTCTGCTGTTGTTGATTGAGATGTTCTGTATATCTGTTATGTCCATTTTATCTAAAGTGTCCTTCAAGTCCAATGTTTCTTTATTCAATTTTAGTCTGAATGATCTATCTGAGTTGGAACTTATGAATTTTTTTTTTCTTTAGCGGTGCAATATTTTTCTAATTCTTCATGATCTTTGTAGCCTTGCAAAGCATCTGCTCACTTGAAAAAGTCACCTCTTCCAGACTTTATTCATTAGTTTCAGTAAAGAAAGACTCTCATCTTCAGAGGGAGGTGGGGGTGAGGCATCCTAGAGTATTCTTTGGTGCCTGGTCTGGAACTACAGGGTGCCAAGTGTGCTGGTATGCAATGGCTCCAAACTGCGAAAAAGTAATGTCCCATTGACTCAGGCAGCTGGGATCTGTAACATCAACAACTATGTAGTCCTTCGTGGCAAGAACTATATGAGGTCCATGGTGGCTGTGGAGGCCCTTGAGATACTTAGTAGTGCCTTTGAGTCCAGGCAGCTATGGACTTGTACTTGGTGGCAAGGGCTGGGGCCAAAAGCAGAGTCTAGGTAAAAGCAGGTGAACATGAGGTGGGGGCTGGAAGCATGTACCTGAAAAATTTGCACAGGCCAACTTTGGGATGGTGATAGGTGTCCACCTGGCTGCCTGTGCAAGATTAAAGGGTACACACACATGTCGGTATAGGGGCCAGCTATTGGTTCAAACATAGTTGTGAGGCAGGTGCCAAGGGGCACTGGTGTCCTATGTGCAGGTACTTATGGAGGGGCTGTGAAGTCAGGATCTGGGGCATGGGCATGTACAGAACAACCACTGCTCCAGGGTCTGGGATGCAGACACAACTTCTGCATTAACTACTAAATTGGTGGTAGTACAAACATATCCAGTCTGGAAGCAGAGTTGAGGTCTGGAGTATGGGCATGCATAGAACAGAAGTTCTGAGTTATAGTGGGAGCATGGGATTGGAATGATGGTGGCCCATCTAGAGACAGCACAACATTGACTCTTTCTTGAGGAATTAGGTGAAGCAGCAGGAGGTCCTTGGTAGCAATGACTGCTGGTTACTTCAGTGGCAAAACTGCCAGTGTCGTCTCTAGGGCAGGTTGCTGAAGTCTTTGCTGACAAGTACTAAAGAGATCTCCACTGTGAAACCCCAGGGAGTCCACAGCTGCCACAGGGGCTGTTGAAATCCTCAGTGCTTAATCCTTTGTTATGATCCTCTGTGATCCTGGGTACCACAGTGGTATCCACCATGTGTTTTATACTAATAACTCTCACCCTTCTTCTTATTCCCTAGCTCTCTTCAGATGACTCATGTATGATAATCTTTCTATGCAATTATTTTCCTTTTTTTCTCCACTGTGTTTCTTTCTTTCTTTTCTTTCTTTCTTTCTTTCTTTGTTTCTTTCTTTCTTTTCTTTCTTTCTTTCTTTCTTTCTTTCTTTCTTTCTTTCTTTCTTTCTTTCTTTCTTTCTTTCTTTCTTTCTTTCTTTCAGTTGGAGTCCCTCTGTCACTCAGGCTGAAGTGCAGTGGCACGCTCACGAACATCCCAGCTGAAACTACAGGTGCACGCTATCACACCCGGCTATTTTTTATTTTATTGTAGAGATGAGGTCTTGGCAAGTTGCACAGACAGATCTCGAACCTGCGGGCTCAGGTAATCCACTCACCTCAGCCTCCCAAAGTGCTGGAATTACAGGCTGAGCCACCAAGCCCGGCCCACTGTGTTTCTTTTGGTTCTCAGTTGGAAACTTGAGCCCTCCTAGAACTATTCTTGTTTTGGATAGCTGTATAATATCTTTGTGTTAGGGGGCACTGAAAGCTGATATCTGCTAGTCTGCCATCTTGCTTATGTCATTCCTCTTCTGACTTTGAATTTTGACAAGTTTATTATAATATATTTGGAGTGGATTTTTTAATTAATTATATTTGGGATTCACTGTGTTTCTTGAATCTAGATGTCCATTTTCTTTGTTAAATTTTGGAAGTTTTTGGCCACTATTTCTTTAAATAATTTTTTCTTGCTCATTCTCTCTCTCTCTCTCTCTCTCTTCTCCTTCTTCGATGTTTATAGTGCATATTTGGCCAGATTGGTGGTGTCCTATAAGTCCTGTCAGCTTTCTTTACTCTTTTTATTTTTATTTTTTAGTGCTTCTCTGACTTAATAGTTTTGAATGCACTGTCTTTGAGTTCACTGATTCATTCGTTTTCTTGAACACATCTACTGCTTAGTCCCCCTAGTAAATTTTTCAAGTTAATAATTCAAGTTATTGAATTATTTAACTCCAAAATTTCTGTTTGGTTCTTTTTATATTTTTATCTCTGTTAAGATTCTAATTTTGATCATATCACTCTCTTGAGCTTGTTGAATAAACATCTTTAACATTTTGAATTATTTGCCAGGTATTCATATACTTCTAGTTTTTGTGATCAGTTTCTAAAAATGTATTTTATTCTTTTGATTGGGCTTTTTTTCCCCTGTTGGTTTACATTCCTTGTAACTTTGTGTTGTTATTAGTGCATTAGAAAAAAAAGCACCCTACTTTTTCAGTCTTTACAGATTGACCTTGTAAATCTCAGCCTTGCTAGAGATTCTGGAGGTCTCTCAAATCTTTAATATGAGTATATATCTTTTTCTGGACTTATTCATGTATATTCCTATTTCTAGGAATATTTCAGTTTAATTTTTTCAAAAGGTTTCAATCTCTTGTTCTTTCTGATGTTTATCTGCTATAATATCAATTCTCTGAAACAGCAGCATACCACCCATTCTTATTTTTGTTCTTAGTAGCCCCCAGAAATCTAGAGCATGCTCAGCCTCATCAGCATTCTGAGACAGGCTAGTCAGAAACCAGTCCTATGTGAAGCCTCATCCTTCCTTAAAATTGTAACATTGCATGTCTGGTCTGTTCTTCTGTCTTTGAGTTCACTAATTCATTCCCAGAGGTAAGCCAGGAACTGAGTATTTTTTTCTGATGATGTGGTACTAATCCCAGAAGAGGGGCTATGGCAATAGGGTGCCAAGAATTTTTCCATTAGCTTCAATATGGTTTGCTTCATGCTCTACTGTGGTACAAAGGCCTCGTCACTGGTTTCAGGATTTCTCACAAAGGAAATTATTACCTGTATTGTTGTTGAATCAATTTCTTCATTGGTGGAAGTTGGATCTGGGAGTTTCTGTTCTGCCATCTTGAGGATATAATTTCCATAGGCATTCTGTCTTATTTATTCTCATTTACTGGGATCACTCATCATTGCCTAGCACTGGTAGCAAACTATTTTTAAAAAAAACAAAACAATGATAATGATGACTAAAACACTATTAGCTAATCTATGATTCTAATCTTTAGACCATGTTCTCAAACCTTCTGTCATGATATTCAATACATATTTACTGAAAGAATAAGTAAACTCCACCCTGAATCTTCCCTGTGTCCTCTTCTATATTTCACTGTTGAATCTGTCTTTGAGGCTGCACTTGATCTTTTACCTTCATCTCTTCTGTCCATTTGGATTTTAAAATTCTCACAACTTCCCATGCAGTGTGCCCCTCTCCTGCCTTATTCTACCAAGAAATTCTTCAACTTTGTTCACAGTGCTTATCTCAAATGTAGTCAATCTTAATATAAAGATAGTTGAATCTTCAATGTCACTGAATTCACTGCAGATCACAGCAAACCATTTTCAGGCCCAAGAATCTTTAATGACATTATAAAGTGCTTTTATCTTACTTAGCAAGTGGAAAGCTCAAAGGGAGTGAGCAAATATTATTATGAAATAGTAGTAGAAACAAAGACTTTATGATAGTGTCAGTGGTCAGTTATTTTATGTTTGAATTTATTTATAAATGCCTGAGTTTTCATTTAGGACACTGAATTTTTCCAATTTTTATAGGGAAATTATTTTCCCTTGTATACTATAAATGTAAAATGTGATTTTAAAAATATTTAGAATTTATTTTGTTACCCTGAGAAGAATAACACTTTTCAGTGATTTTTTTTAAATGCCTTCTCACTATTACTTGGTAAGCATTTAGCATGATTGGTTAACTATGCCTATTATAGCAGAATTCAAATTATATTCATCAAACTCTCAGAAAGAGAAAAAAATAATAATCAAATGTAACAGGTTAATCTGTACACTCTTGTTCCAGAGCTTCTGAGCCATTCACCGCATACTTCTTACCTGGTAGTGATCCGGAGTTTTTTGTAAAACCTCAGGTTGGAGAACTTCTTCCTTTTACTGCAAAAGGAACTCTCATTGTTGTGGGATTTAAACCTCGGATGTACAGTAAGAAATACAAAGCAACATTAGCAATACAGGTGAGTTCTGTCAAGGATGTTTGATGTACCTAAAGGCATTAAATGACAAAGAGAGAATGTTTTACCAAATAGTCACAGGTAAAGAATAACAATATTACCTTGCAAAAGTCAATTCATTCTAACTGCTCTGTTTTGTTTTACTTTTCTTTTGTTCAATAATAAAATTTTAAATATAGCATATTAAAAAGTTGTCAACACTAAGGGAAAGTAAAAAATTACTTGTATTCCGTTTTAAAGAAATATGAAAGAGACAAATACTGACTGCAAAGTGATTTGTATAGTCACATATCATTTTCTGTAATATACCTATTCAAGAACTTTGTGAACTCTAGGTTATTTGAGATAGAGATTTCAGAGCCTTTAATTATGGCAAAGTATTGTCAAAATTTTGATGTTTAAAATGAAAAAAAGTAGTATGGAAGGTAAAAATGTATTTTGAATTGCAAAACATAATGTAGAGTAAGTCATTCATATAGAAATCATTTAAAGTGATAATTTTTATTAATAGTTAAGGCAAATATAATTTTGAAAATTCATCGCTTTGCGACTTTTGGCAAGATGGTGGGCGATGGGGCAGTTTGGTCCGTGAGACCCTCCGTGAAAGAGAACACACAAAAAGATGCTAACTCTTCCCCAGGGGCTGCAGCTGCCATCATTGGCAGCCTGCTTTTCACATGCTGCTCGGCTGCCACCTTAGCCACCTCAGCTGCCGCCTCAGTCACTGCAGCCACTGCTTGCCTCTGCCACGGCTATCGCCCTGCCCCTGCCTGCAGCGACCCATGACTCCTGGATCCATGAAGCCCCCCTACCACTGCACTATTGAAACTGCCGCCGCTGCCGCCACTGCCATGCCCCACCCCTTACCTGGAGCCAGGCTCCTGGAGCTCCTCCCACACAAAATGAAGCAGCAGCTGCCACCCCGCTATCATTGCCTGCTCCCTCCACCCAGGGCAGCCTCCAATTTCCACCCAGCCCAGCCTGCATTGGCAGTCTCCAGTTGCAGAAGAAAAAGAGATCAGCTGGAGCTGTGAGACCAGCTCCACCCGGCTCAGCCCCATCTCCCAGCTTGGGATCCAAGGTAACAACATCAAAATGGAACGGGCAGAAGCCCCTCCCACATGCTAAATAGACACAGACCAGATCCAAGTGGCAGATTTGGCAGGAAGCCTAGATCTGAACCAGCCTCCACAGCAGGCCAGGGGTAACTGACCCAAACTGTGAACAAATCTACCAGCCTGCAAAGAAAGCTAGAAATCAGAGCTGAAAGGACATTGAACTTTAAAAAAAGTCTCAGAATGTGCTTGGTTCCCGTTTTGATTTTTTTTTCCTAATTCTTTGTCTGTTTGTCTTACTCATCTTGTTTTCTCTCTCTTCTTACTGTTATGAATAACATTTTCATACTTCCTTTGGTTCTGTTAGTTTACTGACTTTATTCTATTCTATTTTATTTTATTTTTTCTTTTTAGATCTCATCTTTGTATAGGGGAATAGCACACCAATAAGGAGGTTGGTTAGCTTGTATGTTTGTATGATTGTATGTTTTCGTTTTCTTGTATGGTTCTTGGTTTGTTGTTGTTGTTTTTCTTTTTACTCGTATTGGTCTCTATGTCTCTTTCTATTTGTTAGTTGGTACGTTTGCCTGTTTTCCCTCTTATTCCTCTCTTTCTCCACATCCCTCTTCTCCCCACTCCCTGTTCCATTATTTTCCCTTGTCTTACCTCATTTTGCTTCCAGGGAGTAAACCTATAATGCCACTCCATGGACAGATTGCAAGGCAGTGGGAAGTGGGTTCCAGATTATCCATACACCTATTGGTGGTTAATGGGATCTGCAGATAAATTTTGAATCACAGATCCCCCTCAATTAAATCTCAAAACTGCAAAAAGGATAACCCTCAACCTACAGTGCAGCTCCAGAATTGAACAAAACCAGAGGATATACATAAGGAAGAATAAGAGATTAAACAAACAGAAGTAAAAGCAACCCCTCCACCTCTGAACAACAGAATTAAAGATGATAGGGGGAGGAGAAAAAAGGAAAAAGTGGGGAGAAAAATTTGCACAAATGAAGAAAAACCAAAAGAAGAATAGAGGTCTCACACAGACCCCAGGGAGGTAAGACACTGAGAAAATAGACTTCAGAATGCAAACAATGAAGAGACCCCAGAATGAGTGGTCACATATGACAAACCCAGACAATAAAACATTAATAGAGAGAACAAAAAGAATTGAAGAAAGACAAGAGGAAAATAGGAAGGAAGTGATAGCTGAAGTAACAGCAGTAAAGAATACTGCAATTGAAATAAATAACAAAATAATAAGCATGAAAAGCAGAATTAGCCAAGCAGAAGAAAGAATCTCAGAGCTTGAAGACTAAAATACAGAACTAATCCATACTGTCAAAAACATAGAAAAGAAGCTTAAAAAGACAGAATAAAACCTTTAAGAGATGAATGATTATTTCAAGAGACTGATCCTAAGAGTAATTGGACTTCTGAGGCAGAGAGACAGAGACCAACTTGAAACAAACATTCCCTCATCTCATCAGTGGTGCAAAAATTCAAACACAGGAGGTTCAGAGAACCCCTGCAAGACAACAAATGAGAAGACCAACTCCCAGACACATAATAATTCACCTAAACAAAGTAGGTATAAAAGAAAAATTCCTAAAGGCAGCAAGAGAAAAAGGTCAGAATATCTACCAGGGAAGACCAATTAGAATAGCAGCAGATTTATCTACAGAAACCCTTCAGGCTAGAAGAGCTTGGAGCCCAATCTTCAAAGTTCTCAAATATAAACAATTTCAACCAAGAATAACCTACCCAGCCAAGCTAAGCTTCATCAGTGAGGGAGAATTAGAATCTTTCCAGACATCCAATCCCTAAGAACTTATGCTCCCTCCAGACCACCTCTACAAGAAACACTTAAGAAAGTATTAAACACAGAAGAAAAGGAGAAAAGAATGACAATGTTCTTCATAAAAGTACAGGGAAAAGATGGAAAACACACATGAATCAACTCCAAAACCAAAGGAAAGGCAACAAACAAACAGGAACAACAACAACTCTATAAGAACCTCATGACAGGGATAAACCCCCACATTTCCATAATTAGCCTGAATGTGAATGGACTAAATGCACCACTGAATAGACACAGAATGGTGGACTGGATAAGAAACTATGACCCAGCCAGGCTCAGTGGCTCAGCCTGTAATCCCAGCACTTTGGGAGGCTGAGGTGAGTGGATTGCCTGAGCCTGCGGGTTCGAGACCTGCCTGGACAACTTGACAAGACCTCATTGCTACAATAAATCAAAAAATCATCCGGGCGTGGTAGCGCACACCTATAATTCCGGCTGCTCAGAAGGCTGAGGCGGAAGGATCGCCGGAGCCCAGCAGGTTGAGGCTGCGGTGGTTGGGAGCAGCCACTGCACTCCAGTCAGGGTGACAGAGTGAGACACCAACTCAAAAAAAAAAAAGAAACCATGACCCCATTATTTGCTGCATCCAGGAGGCTCATCTTACTACAAGGGACACACACAGACTCAAAGTTAAAGGATGGAAAATGAGTTTCTAGGCAAATGAATCACAAAAGGAGACAGGAGTTGCAATCTTAATATCAGACAAAACAACCTTTAAGCTATCAAAAATTTAAAAAGATGCAAAAGGACACCACATAAAGATAAAAGATTCAATCTATCAACAAGAAATATCCATCCTAAACATATATGCACCCAACATAAGAACACCAGCATTTATAAAACAACTACTAAATAAACTTAAAAAAATATTGACTCTAACACTATTATAGCAATGGACTTAAATACCCCACTGAGAGGCCTAGATAGATCATCAAGGCAAAAAATCAATGAGATCCAGAACCTAAACTTGACACTGGACCAAATGGACTTAGTAGATACCTACAGATTATACATTCTACTCATCACCACATGAAACATACTCCAAGATTGATCACATCCTTGGCCATTAATCAAGATAAACAAATTCCATAAGGTTGAAATCTTGCCATGTACATTCTCAGACCACAGTGGGATAAAAATAAATATCAAAACCAACAACATTTCCCCAAAGCCCACAAAGACATGGACACTAAACAGCATGATGCTGAACAACAACTGGGTCAACATTAAATCAAAGAAGAAATCAAAAGATTCCTGGAAACAAGTTAAAATGAAAAAACTCTTACCAAAATCTCTGGGATGCCATGAAATCAGTTTTAAGAGGGGAATTTATATCTCTATGAGCACATATCAAGAAAATGAAAAGATCACAAGAGAGAGCCTAACAAATCACCGAAGGGAACTAGAAAGAGAAGACCATCAAAACCCAACTTTAGCAGAAGAATCCAAATCACAAAAATAAGAGCCCAAATATAGGACATAGAGGACAAAAATATAGAAAACATCAACAAAACAAAACTCTGGTTCTTTGAAAGAATTAACATGATTGATGGGCCCCTAATCAGAATGACCAAGAAAAAGAAAAAAAAGCCCAAATAAACATAATCAGAAATACAAAAGATCAAATTACAACTGACCCCAAAGAAGTACAAAAGATTATCAGAGATTACAATGTACACCTAATAGAAACAAACTCGATAACCTAGATGAAATAGAGGACTTTCGACATCACACAACCTCTCCAGGTTAAAACAAGAAGACATTGAGACACTAAATAGATCAATAACAACCCAGGAAATTGACTCTGTCATATGAAAACTACCTACAAAAAAAATAAATAAATAAAAGCCCTGGACCAGATGGCTTTTCAACAGAATTCTACAAAACGTACAAGGAGGAGCTGATACCAATCCTATTGAAAGTATTCCAGGCAATTGAGAAAGATGGAATTCTCCTGAAATCATTTTATGAAGCTAACATTACACTGATACCCAAATCAGGTAAAGATCCAACAAAGAAAGAGAACCAGAGGCTAATATCCCTTATGAACATAGATGCAAAAATCCTCAACAAGATTCTAGC